AGCTTATGATGTATTCGATTCACGTGGAAAACCTCGTGTTGATATATTAAAAGCACATTTTATTTCTGAAGGACGTGTTACTGAAGATGTAGCACTTAAAATAATCGAAGACGGTGCAAAATTATTACGACAAGAAAAAACTATGGTTGATGTTGAGGCACCAATAACTGGTATAAAAAATATATATATATATATATATAATTCTTTTTTCTTGTTTTTTTTTGCTTCATTTATTTGATTTATTATATGATAAAATTTAGTATGTGGTGATGTTCATGGACAATATTTTGATTTAATGAAATTATTTGAAGTTGGTGGTTCACCAGCTACAACTCGTTATTTATTCCTTGGAGATTATGTTGATAGAGGTTATTTTAGCATTGAAGTAAGATAATAATTCATTTGAAAAAAGAAATTTTATATTATGTTTTTCTATTATAATTTTAGTGCGTTCTTTATTTATGGTCAATGAAAATTCTTTATCCTACAACATTTTTTCTTCTCCGTGGTAATCATGAATGTCGACATTTAACAGAATATTTTACTTTTAAAACTGAATGTAAGATTAATGAGCAAGAATATCTATTTATTGTTTCTTTTTTTTTCTCTTTTCTAATTTTTTTTTATTTATATTCAGGTAAAATAAAATATACAGAACGTGTATACAATGCATGTATGGAAGCATTTGATTGTTTACCACTTGGTAAGACGTCTATAAAAATAAAATTATATTTGATATAAAAGACTTACAATAGTTTAACTAATGAGATCTTATTCAATAGAGGAAGAAAAAAAAAGAGTTCAAGTACTTCGGAATAGAATACATTTTTCTAAAGAAAAAAAAAACAAACAACAAAAGAAGATGAAGCTCATGAGGAAAGTCCCCGAACTCATTTATTTACTGTAAGTCAAGACTATGTGCAATATGTAGATCTTAATAAACAATGAATACTCTGAAAAAAGTTTGAACCATTAGACTCTTTCAAGAATATCATGAAAATAGGGTTTTGTTTTTTTTCTTATCTAAAGATACGGCTATGGAGGGTAAAGGGATCTCTTTGACAATGATAAATTCGATGTACTTATTTCAAGATAGGAATGCTCAAAAAAAAAACAAGATCTAAAACTTTCATAACAAACTATTCTCATTAAGACATATCTTTTTTTGTAAAATTTCAAGTCACAATTCAAAAAATCATTTTTTTTTCATAGTATTCTTGAGAGTGATCACAATAATATTAACTTAAAAAATTCCATAAAAACACAATATCTTCATAGAGTGCGAACTTTCTTTTTTTCAGAGTAATCAAAGTTCATTCGAGTCTACATGATATACACTGTCCGGACTAAATATTAATTAATCTGTTGAAGGACTTCCTTCCTCAATCGGAAGTTTCACATGATTCACTATACTATTTTGACTTCAGATTATAAACTAAAAGTATTCACAGGAAGAATTTAAACAAACTTTTTTGAATTAATTTTCAATTTTGTTTTTTCCTATACGAAAATGTCATATATGTTAATAAATCATTTGTGTATACGCTACAATGCTTTTAATCATGACTTATTCAATTTTTGTTGTAAATGATTAAGAACAAGTTTGCAGTGTTTTTTTTTTTGTCAACTCCAATCTTCAATATATGAATTATATTACTGTAATCTTGATTAATAAATACAATTTTTTTATTACTTCTAGCTGCTCTTATGAACGGTCAATTTTTATGTGTTCATGGCGGTCTCTCACCAGAAATTCATACACTTGATGATATTAAAAAACTTGATCGCTTTAAAGAACCACCACCTTATGGACCTATGTGCGATTTATTATGGTAAAAAAATGTTCTTCTATTATAAATAATGAAAATTTATTTTTATTTAGGTCTGATCCACTTGAAGATTATGGTACTGAACGAACTTCAGAACAGTATAGTCACAATACAGTACGAGGATGTTCGTATTTTTATAGGTTTGTTATGATAAAAATTTAATTAATAAAATAATATTTTTGTTTTTTTTTTTTTTATAAAAATAGTTATGCTGCATGTTGTGATTTTTTACAAAATAATCAATTATTATCTATAATTCGTGCTCATGAAGCCCAAGATGCAGGGTAGAAAAATATTATCTATTTACTTGGTTATTTTTTCTTTTTGTTTTTGAAATATAGTTATCGTATGTATAAAAAATGTCAGAGTACCGGTTTTCCAAGTTTAATTACAATATTTTCTGCTCCAAATTATCTTGATGTTTATAATAATAAAGCTGCTATATTGAAATATGAAAATAACGTGATGAATATTCGTCAATTTAATTGTTCACCTCATCCTTATTGGTTACCAAATTTTATGGATGTATTTACATGGAGTTTACCATTTGTTGGTGAAAAAGGTAAAAATTTATCAAAAAGAAAAACAACCAGAATTTTATTTGTTTTTTTTTTTTTTCTTATTAGTTACTGAAATGCTTGCTAATGTTCTTAATATTTGTTCAGATGAAGAATTAGAACATCCTAATGCACCAGATGATGATGGTATGTTGATATTTTATTTATGAAATCAATATGTAATCTTTTGTATTTTTCTTTTGTTCTAGTTGATATGACAAGTGAAGGTAGATGGAATAGAAAATATTCTCTAGAGAATGATGCATTTGTTCATTATTTTTTTTTTTTAGCTGCATTAGCGGCACGCAAAGAAGTGATACGTAATAAAGTACGAGCTGTTGGTAAAATGGTTCGTTATTTTGCAACATTAAGGTAAATTTTGATAGTATTTTATTTTTTATTTCTACAATAATAAAAAAAAAACAAAATCATCTTTATTTCAGAGAACAAAGTGAAGATATTGTAACATTAAAAGGATTAACACCAAGTGGTACATTACCATTAGGAACACTTGAAGGTGGTAAAACAACTATTGATCAAGGTAGAAGATAATTAAGATTTTTTGTTTGAATTTTATTTTTCTTTTTCTTTTTTAGCTAAACAATTAATTGCTAATAAAAAGAAAATATCATTTGAAGAAGCAAAACGTTTAGATAAAAGTAATGAAAGTATGCCACCATGGCAACAACTTCATCCATCATCATCCGGTCTTACATCGGGTATTGGTTCAAGTGGTACAGCATCATCAAATAGTGGTACATCATCACCACGTATTGTTGGAACATCAAATTCATCATCATCATCACCATCTTTACCATCAGCTGCATCATCATCGACACCAGTTAATACATTAGCTGATGCATCAGGTGTAACAACAAATTTATTAATGGATTCAACAAATACAAATTGTAATGGTAATGATAAAACATCTGGAAAACCTACAAATCAACAATCATCATCACATCATCGAACCAAGTGAAAAGATAAATTATTTATTCATAGTCTCTCAGTTTTTTTTTTCCTTTCTTCTTCTATCTTTCTCCTAGCGTGAATTATTTGCATTCACTGATATAAATACGTTTTTTATGAAATGTTGATTTAATTATCAACAATTTCATTTTCACTTTTTTTTTTTTTTTTTGTAAAAAGTTGAAGAACACACTCTTTTTTTCGTTCCTCTACGTTCATGTCTAACTTTTTCGTGATAAACTATAACATTTTCTTCTTTTTTTTTTTTTCGTCAGTGTGTGTGAGAGAGATCGTCTCTTTGTATTAGCCATATTTTTCTTTAATGTTGTTCTGCGCTATGCTTGCGTCCGCGTTTTTGTTTTATTATTTTTTTTTCTTTTTTCGTTTGCTTCATACTTTCCACGATTACAACCAGCAAGATCGCGTCTTTTTTTCTTTATTTGTTTGTTTGTTCGTTGTGAGCGATGAAATTCCTATATCTTCTTTTTTCTTTTTCCTTGTCTTTTATTCTGTGGCAAAAACAGCATGACGACAACAATAACCAGAAAAGACAAAACAGTATATTATAAGTTTTGTTCAATGAGAAAAAAACAAACAAACTAGAGATTGTTTTTTTCCTTAGACAATTTCAGGATAAATGAAATTTTTTAATATATTAATCTTTTCATGAAGGATACAAAATAAGATGATTTTTCAATTGAAGAAATTATTTGTTTTTCTTTTTTCTGTAAAATTAATGGTACAATTAAATAGAAAAATTACTAATTCAATGATTTATATTTAATATTGAAGATCAATGAATAATGCTGTTATGATTGTTTTATTCAAATTTGATTTTATAAGTATTTTCAATTGCTATGAATGATTTCATCATTGATTTATTATCGTTTTTCTCATGAATACGTATATATATGTTATTCTATCGATATCAATATAATAAATGGTTTACCAGACTAGAAATATTTCTAGTTGATATACATTCTAATTATATTACCAATAATATTCAATCATTGAGTTCTTCCTTAATTTACGCAATTTTAATATATTAGAAATTGTTTTTTTTTACAGTCATATTATTTCGTTTATTCATCGGCAACAAGAAAAAAAACTCAATAATGATTGCGTCGATTTTGCATTCTTATAAGCATTTTAAAATTTATTTGATTTATTATGCACATAAATTTTAATAGTGGATATTGAATACGATGTATACGTTTAGTTGTATATGAAAAGAACTTATCTTTTAATGTGTGTCATGTTTTGTTTTTTGACATTTACTTGTCTTACATAGTGCTTCTCTTGTACTAATATTAATGATGAAAAGAAAAGAAAAAAAAGCATTATGAAATTTTTCGTAACGAATGTAAGTATAGTTTATAATAAAAAAAATAAAGAAAGAGAAACGTCCCTTTATCAGTCAATACTTGAGTCATAATTTCCAATCGATAAAACCATGGGAAGAAGGAAGAAGTTCTAAATGTTATTCAAATTAATGGGATTAAAATTAAAACGACTTGACTCATTCATCTTCACTATACATATACATATAAATATTTAAGCTAAATAAAATCTTTATATTTTTATTAAATTCAACAAGACACAAACTATCTTATCATAACTATATTACATATTTAGTTGATTATTCATGGGACAAAAAAATACAACGTTTATTGATAAAGAATCCAATTTAAATAAATCAAAAAATCAACAAACAAAATCGTATGTATATAGAATTCATTTATTCAATAATAATTATTTTTAAATAGATTCGAAGTTCAAACTTCAATTCCTCATCGTCACTATACATCATCTGAATCTACACACTATAATTCTCATTTAGGTATAGCTGAACGTTATATCAATATGCGATTGCAAATTCCTTTTACGGAAAATACTATTTCTGGCGTTAGTCATGCTGATATTATGCATCAATGGCATAACAAACAGGCCAATGAAATCCATAAGAATATGCCACATCGATATCAATATGGTACACCAACATCTTCATCGAATAATTCGACATGTCGTAAAATCAATAGTCAAGTAGATACATATAGTCTACAACAACCTAATTCAGCATCTAATATAGATCACAAAAAGAAAAAGATAATATATTGATTTGTATTAAAATAGAACGATTGATTCCGTGTGTTTTGTATAAGAATAATATATTGTTATTTTTTGTGAAAATAGACATGTTTTTAATTTGGCTGATAATCTAGACAATCAAATATTTAACAACGTTGCATGTTGAATACTTTCAAGAGAAAAAAGAAAAGAGTCCTATAATTTGAAATTCAAATTTAAGTGTAAAATTAAAATTCAACAAATTTAAATAAATGATGTTTATTTATATTAATAATACTGGTAACCTAATGAAAACATAGATCTAACACACAAAACAAAATTGGAGAAGCGGAAGTTAATGTTTGAAAAATACATTTGAAATCAAATTTAAGAAGCAATAAAGAATAGAAGTAACAATTAATACTTCTGCTTCTTTTACTATAAACTACTTTTCATTTCAAAATATAATATCTCCTATTGCTTTTTGAATAAGTTTTCATAGAAATAAGATAGAGACTTGCAGTTGTCAAGTATTCGAAAGACGACAGGTGGGAGAGTAATTATATGAAAAAACATTTTATTCATTAGCTATTGACTCATGAAATTAATTTTCATTTGAATTTTGCGTAAGATCGATCTTTTTAGTTTTCTCCGTTAAGAAACTATGAGTATTGAAATCGGTCAATTGACGTCTGATTACTCTTACATGGGTTCGATAAGAGATTTTTGTCTATACTGAGTCCAATGGTGATATGTCTCTATGAGTTTTAAAATTTTTTGACTTCAGATCGTTTTATAACTGAAAGCAAACATCACTACTGTGCTCAACGTGAATGAAAGCTCCTATTCCGATTTATTATGGTGTAATTAGATATCATTGGTCGATTGCTGAGATCACTGAAAAATGTTCAAAACATCTATTGAATGATCACTTTAGAATTTGAAATCGATTAGGCAAAATTGTTGTTCTATCTAGGGATGTCTCGAGGTCGCTAGAACTGAAGGAAGCGTACACAATTAAAGAGATTCGTTGAAAGATTTTTATTAAAGTTGATTGAACTTAAGAGAGTAGTGTTTGGGCGTTTTTCGGGAATTGGTAAGCAAAAAAAACAATAAAATGCTGAGGAAAATGAGACATTTTTCAAGATTCGAAGACCACTCCTGTTTTTATCATTTTCAAAAACTTGAATGAAGACTTATTTGATTAGTCAATAGCTGAACAATAAAAGTTTTTCATACATTTACATCCTCCACTCTCCTATTTACAATGGCCAAAACGATACAACGACAATTGAGCCTTCATTGGCTAATTACGAAAGAAACAGAATCAATATTCGCTAACTTTGTTCAGGTCAAAAGTAGTGCACACCAGAGATGAACACAAGATAACTTTTTCTGTCCTGGCAGGCGGCAGGACAAGATATAAAAACATGCCCCATCCTCACATGATATTGATAACTCTCTAGTATATTTTTCCGTAGCTAAATGAATTATCTTTAAGAAAACGAATAAGTTTTTCGAATTATGATAGTAGTGCGGATATGGATGTATATGCATAGAACGTCTACATCCCACTGCAATCATATCCATACACACACTACCCGTAGGTAACCAAAACAATCAAGTGGAAGTTAGTTCTTGACTATTGAGAATTTCACAATTGACGTTGTATAATAACAATAGAATATGATAGAACACTAATCGAGACTGGATTTAAAAAAAGAAATAATTTAAAAAATCTACTCGTTTTCGTGAAGATGATTGACTTGGCTATAGAGAAATATAATAGTGGCTCAATCAATCTCATAGGAACATGTTGCAAGTTTCGATCGACTAATTTTGTATTGAACAAAGTGATTGCATATTGATTCTGTTTCTTTCGTAATTAATCGATGCAGGCTCAAGTGTTGGGAGCTCAACTATCGTGTCACTCGAGTGTACTGTGTCTTCAATGGTCATATAAAAATGATAGATTGTTTACATAAGAAAAGAAAAACCGAAAAAAAATTCTACTACATAATCGTGTTGTTCAAACTGCGAAATATCAAGAACACATCGTTTGTTTCCAATTATGAAATGAAAGGAAATAAAATGGATTGAGAAATTGATTTTGTCGAATGAAAGAGAAAAACGATCGATACCAGAGCTTGACTCACAAAAATTTAACCGATATCAGATACTGACGGAGAGTAATAAAAATTACCAATATATCTGAAGAATTAAATACTAATGGTTACTGCACTTTGAAAAGTTCCATCAACTTATTTTCTATTATTACAAAGTAAAATATTCAGTAATGAATTGATATTAATGTCTTTTAAAAATAAAACCACATGTAAAAACGAGATTTTTTTTTATTAGAATGATATCAAACCAAGAAAATAAATAAAATAAGATAATACATGATGAAAATTGAAATGAAAGACAAATTTAATTACATTCAGTAATTGTTGATACAGTATTTCCTTCTCGTCGTGTTATAGTATGACAATGTTGATGAGTATGTTTTGTAAAACTTGATCTATGCGTATGAACATTATCTCCACCAAAACTATTACCGAATCCTCCAAATAGATCGCCAATATTCAACAAATTATCATCAAGATTATTTGAATTCATTCCAATTTCATCATCATCATCGAAAAGTGAACCAAAATCAAAATTAAAAAAACCTTGTTGTGCTCGTTGATGTGCACGTTGATGAGCACGTTGATGTGCTTTTTGATGTGCTTGTTGATGTGCTCGATGGTGAGCTTCATAAAATTGAGATTGTGCAGCATCAAATTCTTTAAAAAAATCATGCATATTAAAATGAAAATTCGAAAAATCATCTTGATTTGATGATTCAAATGATTGACGTCCATTCATATCATATTGACGACGTTTGTCTGGACTACTTAATACATCATATGCTTCAACTATAGTACGAAATTTTTCTTCAGCTTTTGGTTCTTTATTTTTATCTGGATGATATTTTAAAGCTAAAAATAATAATAGTAAGAATTTTTTTTTAATTTACTTATTTATTTTAAAATAGAAATTTTCTTTATTTTACCTAATTGACGAAATTTTCTTTTAATTTCTTTTTCACTTGCATCTCGTTTAACACCTAAGATTTCATAAAAATCTTTAGCTGCAACTATTATCAAACAAAGAATTAGTACAACAAATTGTATCCATGTATTAATGTTCATATTTTTGTTTTTTTTTTTGAATATGATTGATCGATATATCCGTGTAAAATAAGAAATTTGAATTATATCTTATATGACTTCCTTTTGTTCGATCCCATGCATCAATGATGTTGATGTTGCTGTATGTGATTGGTCTTCATACAAACCAATGATAGTACAGTAGAACGGAACGGATAAAATAACAACATGTCAAGGGTGCATAGGCGGCGCACCAGCAATGCAATAGTTAGCAATTGCAACCCCTAAAATAAATTATTGGAATCAATAAGAACTTATTGCTTCCTCTAAATTTTCATGCTTCTTGTATATTCTCGAGTAAAACTACTTTATTCAACATACATATATTCGATGTAATTCTGTATTTTATGTATGAAGATTGAATTTTTGTCTCAGGAACTGTTTATTGCTATCCTGATGTATCTGTTTCCCGCAATATACATGGAGTGTCCCATAATAAATGGCCAATTTTTCTATTTCATATTTTAATCTTTAAATACATTTTAAAGAAGCACAGAAAATAGCACTAGATGCAGTGTAAAGATCTCTGTAGGCACAAAGGAAACCTTATTTTAACTGTATACTTGGTATTTTTTGAAAATAAATGGAATTCTGTGCATTCAATTTTCGACGCTGCGCAAAACGATCTCACAGATTTTTGGTTCTTTTCAAAACATAAAGTATACAATTAAAAAAGCTTTGCTTTGTACACTGTAGAATTTTTTACGCTGCATCTTGAGATATATACGATAAAACCAATTAGGTGATAAAAGGATGACATAAGAAAAAAATGACTTGCTTATTGAAATAGAAAAATGATCTGTTAGGTACAATGGAAACTATTCTCACGGAATTTTGGTTTTTTTTGAAAACAAAAATTACACAACCAAAATATGCTTCACTCTGCGGATTGTAGATCTTTTCACTCTGCACCTTCTGGTGTATTATACTTTTTTAAAGAAAATATATTAAGAGACATACCGATAAAATAAGAGCGAAGAAATGGTTTTTTGACGCCTTCAAAAAGTGGTTGTACAGAATTTTGTCTTTTTCAAAATCAAAATTAAACAACCAAAATCAGTCTTGCTTCGTGAATTGTAGACCTTTGTACGCTGCATCTTGTGGTATACTCGATTTTTTAATAAAAATTTTTAAAGATTAAAATCTGAAATACAAAAATCGGTCATTTATTAAGAAACATCCGTTTGAATGAGATTATGAAATTGATATTGATGCTATTGGAACTGCTTTTCTATTGAAAAAAGATAAAAGAAAAACATTTTTTTGAAAATGAACAAAATAATTCTATATCATTCTCGAACAAAAACGTATTTTTTCCTATTAATAATAAACATTTGTGAACATGTAATAGTGACTGAAGACTAAAATTGAAGTAGTAAACGTACTCAATAAAAAGTGCATATACTAAGTATAGCGGGTTTAATGCACTACTAGAGTAGTTAATGCTCGAGCTTTGCATACATCACGTTCGAGAAGTTCAGTTCTCAGTAAAAAAGTTTTTTGCATCGGATTGAGCAAGAGGAAGAAAGTAGAGCTCATTTAACAGTTTATTGCTACCCCTACAAAACTGACCTTGCGCCGCCCATGCAAGGGTATATCAAAGCATACAGCCATCTAGAATTTTAAAAAAGCGAAATAAAAGAAAGATTATCGAAGAGAAGATGTACTACAAATTAGTATTGATATCAACGATTTAGCCATTTCCTTGATGAATATGGCTATAAAAATGTTTTACCTCAATCTACTAATATGTAAACATCGGACGAAAAAGAACGACGTATACAATGGACTGAAAAGCATAAAAACGGTGATTGTACTAAAAGAATATTTACAGATGAATCTTCATTTCAGCTTTTTCGAAATACAGTTCGTCGACGGAGGAAAAATCCTAGTAAAGAATTAAAATGCTCACCTAAAACTCGTCAAAAAGTTCAAATCTGTGGATAATAAGTATGGAAGGCGTATTGACCTGTCACACGTTTCGATGCAATCTTGATGGCCCATATTATATGCTAGTATTCTTGAAGACTATCTTGTTCCGACTGCCAGGCGTAAGTAATGAGAGAAAATAATGTAACATTACTTGCTGATTCTTTCGTTTGGATCAGTTTGATCAAAACTGGCGCTTACAGTCGGATAACGATCCCAAACACATGAGTAATATTTGTAAACAATTTTATCGACGAAAATGTATCACAAATATTAGACTGGTCATCTAACAGTCCAGATGCAAATCTGATCAAGAACACATGGTCAATAGTGAAATGCAACGTAGAAAAAAGAAAACCTGTAAATATTGATGAGTTCGAACTTTTTTTAGCTGAAGAATTCAGAAATATTGATATTAATGTTGTAAAAACGTGTGTGATATCTATGAAAAAAACATGTTTATCTCTTATCGATTGTAAAGGTGAACGAATAAAATCTATTTAATCAACATTTTTCAGGTGAAAAAGTCAAAAATGTTGAAATTTCGATTATTAATATTTTTCTTGCGTCCAAGAAATAGAAATGTTTGTCTTATTTTTCTTCTACAAGTGAGCAGATGGAATATAAAATTATGATATCGTGTAGTACTCGTCGTGGGCTATCCATCACACTATAAAAAAATTCGAAAAACACTTATATAGAAGATAATATGTGTAGAAGAAGTCATACAAGTTTTTTTTTTCGAAAACACGTGTAGCTAATTGCCTTGCACTTCATTGACCTTTGTGAATTAATTGTTGTTTAACCCTTTGTATAAAACCATTCGTTCGCACAATTTTATGTGTACCCATAGATTTTTTCAGATCATATGTTCAGTAGTTTCTTTACACAAATTTTTCCATCATCTAATTGTACATTGGCTGACCACATTTCGTAATTGTTTGGTCATTTGTACCGATCTCATCTCATCATCAATCATTCGCATAACCACGTTTCGAAGGTTTTTGGATTGTAATTCTTTTTCTTAACTAACAGCACTTGTACAGCTGTGATATGGTATTATATGACTCTTGTATGTGCCTCTAGTAAGTAGTGTCAGACTAAATCGGAAAATATAATGAAACACTCATCAATTACTCTACAGTCGGCCATCGATTATGGCTTTCAACATGGCTCATTAATGAAAGGAATAAGAAAAAGAATTCGTTATGTATCAATAAATCATCTTCTTCGCAGTGTCAAAATTTGCTCGCTCCGAGTCGTGTCCATTTTGGAAACAAACAGTACAGTTATAAAATGAGCTGTCTTTCTTAAATTGTAGAGCTTTTCACATTGCATCTGGTCATATCTTTTGTTTTTTTCGATAAAACGAATTAACTGATGAAAAAATGAAATGCAAAAAGCGGTTATTAATTATGTCTCCATCTGCTCGATATATATAGGTGTCGCTTTAAAACTCTGAAATTCTCAAAAAAATAAATATATATTTCAAAATAAATTATTCAAACATTTGTTTTAAAATTAATTTTATCAAGTTTTTAACTAAAACGGAAAAATCCAAATCACCATCTTTATCAGTAATCCTCTATTCTGATGTATTTTATATGAGTCAAACATCCTCCTAGTGTGTCATTGTTGCAGCCCACTATATATTACACAACTGATTATTCATTCACATTCATTCATTCATTCATTCATTTGTACGTTTTGCTCAATCGTAAGTTAACTTTAAACTTTCATTAATATATAATCTAATTTATAATGCCACAACAAAATGAACATCTATCTTTTACATCAGATGAATTTGTCTTCGATATGGATTATTCCGAAGCACGTAATATACTTGACTTAACAACAACAAAACAAAAACAACTTCGTCGACAACGTTCACAAACATTATATACACAATTATTACTTAAACGAACATATGTACATGTATGTGAATTATTAAATTCAGATTGTTTAATAGAAAAACCTATACCATTATCAACAGTTGATACAAATAAACGAAAATTATCATCTGATCATCATGATGTATCATCGAAAAGTAAAAAATGTAAAAATTCTATTGATAATGATATTTTACAATTTCTTCGTGAATTAAATTCTGTCAAAGTAACAAACAGGTATTAAAGAGAGATTAAAGTATATAAAATTATATACATAAAAAGAAAATTTAGTGAATACATCGAACTCTCTTCATGTTGTTCATCTATTGGACAAACAATGTCAATTGCAGTGGTCGTGTAAGTTTTCTAGTTTCAAACAAGACATACACATTCGTGCTATTCGGTGAATGATCTCGTTTTTCTTTTTTTGTTTTCTTGTTTTTTGTTTTCTTCGTTTACTTTATCAGATATGTTGTAGTGTATAATAAAACACATGAGGCAGTGTGCCCTGATATATGATTTATTTTGTGATCAAGACAATAAGATTATTATACATATATATATACGTATATCTCGTGAGCCTTTTTTCTATTGTTCTATTCCCCGTTTTGATTTCTTATAGACGAAAACAATCAACAGATACATCCTGATGGTGATTTATTGTGGTAAATATTTCTAGGTTTTAATACAATGGAGAAAAAAAAAACAAACAGTTCAACGATTGGTGTAATTCATAACAATATATCAATGATTCATAGGTTATGTTTTTTTTGTTGAAATAAGATTTATTTGATTTCTCTTCAATTAAGAGATTTCCCGAATGTATATAAATGTCTCGACTACACATAAATAAAGGTAAAGAAACAAAAATGCTATATTATTAGAATTTCGAATATTATAATATTGAGCTGAATGAAATCAAATAGGAATTTTGTTGAATATTGGCAATATATATGTATATATAATCTTTTATTCGATTAATGTAACAAGTTTGTCTTTAAATTTATATATATGAAAATTTAATACAAGAACAAAAAAGAATGAAATAATAATCATAATTATTACAAAAAAAAAGGATTTTGTTTATAGAATTTATAATGTATTTTGTTTGCGATTAATAGAACAAAAGAAATCATATAAAAATAATGTTTAGTAAAAGTATAA